GCCTAACCCCCCCTAAGTGCCTGCTCACTTCCCACTTCCTGTCTGCACACCCTTGCACAGACTTCTCCCTAAGCCTCAGTTTCCTTAACCATAAAATAGAATTGATATTAGTTGCAGCCTCACTAGGCTTTTGAGAAAGTTAGAGAAGGTATGTGCAACATATGCCTCCCACACAAGTACAATAAACATGGAGTACATTATAGTACCATAGAAAACATTGGTGTTACAAATCAACTTTAGGGAGCTAGACTGAGAGAACATAAACCTTAGGAATTAGGAAAACTCCTGGGGAGAAGGATGGATCTTCTCCAGAACCCCACACAGGGACTTGAGTAGGATTTGAGTGACATCGTAAGGGTCAGGCTGACCTCAGCTGGCCTCCAGATTTTTAATGGAAACGTATCTGGCACATGTGGCTCGAAATGGTCTCGAATGTTCTTCCAATGGGTAGTTTTGTCACTAAGGCATGACAAAACTGTGTCTGTCGTGGAGTCTTTCTGGTGACCATGTGGTGATGGTCTCAGTGTCAGCAGTTCAGGGAAGTCCATTCAGACCTTTCTACGCTGGTTCTTGCAAAGATGATGAGGTCTTGAGTGAGTGCTGTGACTACGAACGTGGAGAGCAGAGGTCAGATTTAAGAGCCTATGGGGGCCAGTGCCGCGGCTCACTAGGCTAATCCTCCGCCTTGCGGCGCCGGCACACCAGGTTCTAGTCCCGGTCGGGGCGCCGGATTCTGTCCCGGTTGCCCCTCTTCCAGACCCCAGGAAAAGCACCTGGCTCCTGGCTCCTGCCAGGATAAGCGCGGTGCGCCGCCTGCAGCGGCGGCCAGACCAGGGTAACCACCTGCTCAGGAAGACCTTCTCTCTCTCTGTCTCTCTCTCACTGTCCACTCTGCCTGTCAAAAAAAAAAAAAAAAAAAAAAAATTTATGTATTCATTTTTTTAAAAAGATTTATTTATTTATTTGAGAGGCAGAGCTCAGAAAGAGATGGAGAGACAGAACTAGAAGTTTGGTTCACTCCCCAAGTGGCCTTGTCAGCTGGAGCTGGGCCAATCCAAAGCCAGGGGCCATGGCCATGAACTTCTTCTAGGTCTCCAATGTGGACGCAGGGGCCCAAACACTTGGGCTATCTTCCACTGCTTTCCCAGGCCACAGCAGAGAGCTGGATCAGAAGAGGAGCACCTGGGACAGGAACCAGTACCCATATGGGATGCCGGCGCTGCAGCTGGAGACTTATTAGCCCACTATGCCACAGCGCTGGTCCCTCAAATTTTATTCTAAAATTGAATTCAGTGTCTAAAAGAAAAAACAGGATTGGATGGGATTAACAGCAGATTAGACATTGTGGAAGATAAGTGAATTTGAAGACAGCAACAGAAACTATATAAAATGAAACAGAGAAAATACACTGAAAAAAAGAAAAGTAGATCAGTAAAGTCTGGGACAACTTTAACAGCCTATATGTACGTACTTGGAGTTCTTAAAACAGGGATAGAAAGGGGACAGAAAAAATATATTCAGAAAGATAAACAAGAGACAACTGAGTATTTATATACAAAGAATGAAGCTGGGGCCATAATCACACTATTTACAAAAATTAACTCAAGGGGCCGGCGCCGTGGCTCACTTGGTTAATTCTCTGCCTGTGCGCCAGCATCCCATATGGACACCAGGTTCTAGTCCCGGTTGCTCCTCTTCCAGTCCAGCTCTCTACTGTGGCCTGGGAGGGCAGTGGAGGATGGCCCAAGTGTTTGGGCTCCTGCACATGGGAGACCAGGAAGAAGCATCTGGCTCCTGGCTTCGTATCAGCGCAGTGCTGGCTGTAGCGGCCATTTGGGGAGTGCACCAACAGAAGGAAGACCTTTCTGTCTCTCTCTCACACTGTCCAGAACTCTACCTGTAAAATTAAAAAAAAAAAAAATTAACTCAAAAACCCTTGGAAGAAAATATACGCATAAGTCTTCATGGCCTCAAAGATTAGGCAACTGTTAGTTGTGACACTGATAGCAAAAACAACCACCACAAAATTAAATAAAAAGCAAGACTCAACTATATGCTATCTACAAGAAATGTTCTTCATTTGAGAAATAAAAATAAATGAGAACATAAAAAAATAGATTAGGCTGGGGCAGCAGCGTGCTGCAGTTGCTTAAACTGTCATCTCTGATGCAGGTATCGTATATAGAAGTGGTAACTCGAGTCCTGTCTGCTCTGCTTCCAATCCAGCTCCCTGCTAATGAACCTGAAAGTAAGACAATGGCCCCACATCTTGGGGCCCTGCCACTCATACAAGGGATCCAGAAGAAGTAAGTTCTAGGCTTCTGACTTCAGCCTGGCCCAGCCCCTGCCATTGCAGCCATTTGAAGAGTGAACCAGTAGATCAAAGATTTCTCTTTGTCACTCTTTCAAATAAACTTAAAAGAAAAATAAATTTTGCTGATACCAACCAAAACAAAACTGAAGTGGCTATGTTAAAACAGATTTCAGAACAAAGATACTCCCAGAAATGAGGTGAAACCAAGAAGATATGCAATCCTAAATGTTTATACAACTAATAAAGCATCAAAATACTTGGAAAAACAATAGAACTGAGGAAAAAAAAAACAAATACACAGATTTCAGAACATTTTTCTAAATTAGCAACACAAAAAATCAGAGAAGATATAGATGATTTGAACACACCAACAAGCTTGACCTAAATAATAGTTACAGAACACTCTACCTAATAATAGCAGAATACACTTTCTTTTCAAGGGCATAAGGAATATTTACCAAGACAAATGACATTACTGGGTCATAAGTAAAAAAAAGCCTCAATCAATTCAAAGATACTATAATAAAAAGAATGTTTTCTGCATGTTGGAATTAAGTTATCAAAAAAGATATCAGGAGAATTCCTAAACATTGGATATTAAATAAAACACCTGCCATAAGCAATCAAAAGAGTAATTTAATTAGGAAGTATTCTGAATTGAATAAAATGATTCAAATTGAATTCCTGAGTAGATAAAAACCCTCTACCTCCTACCACAACTGCCTGGAAAACACAAATTCATCCCTGAAGAAGAGAACACCAAATTATTCTATTATTTCACATATAATTTCAGGTATTCAAGATAAATGATCAAATTGAAGGACTCAAAAAAAAAAAAATCCCCAAGAGATAGTTATTGAAGTCACCAGAGTCACCAGATACAGTCTTAAAAAAACGATAGACTTAGGCCGGCGCCGCGGCTCAATAGGCTAATCCTCCACCTTGCAGCGCCAGCACACTGGGTTCTAGTCCTGGTGGGGCGCCAGATTCTTTCCCAGTTGCCCCTCTTCCAGGCCAGCTCTCTGCTGTGGCCCGGG